ATACTCAACGCAGGAGCTGCCCCCTGGTGTCAGTGCGCTCCCACAGCCAACCTCCCGCTGCCTCTCCCCTCTACTGGCTGCCCCCCACCCCCCCATAGGCCTTGATTGCCAGCCAGGCTGAGGGGCCCCACCCGTGCACAAATTCATGCACTGGGCCTCTAGTATTTGTATAAAGCATGTAAGTAATTATGTCTTCAAAAACCAAGATTTTCAGTATTGCAGAAACAAAATACAAATATAAAATCAAATTAAATAAAAACTCCACAATTCTAAATTTGAATTTAGAAATATCCGTATGAAGTCATGGGGCACTTTTTTTTGTCATAAAAAAAAAGTCTGTACACTGAAAAGGGCCAAGAACAATGATCAATCCAATGCGCATTCCTATTCTCCCTCCAGACTATGAAGTTTCCTATCAGCTTTTCTTCTAGTGCCGCGGTCGACAAACTGCGGCTCACGAGCCACATGCGGCTCTTTGGCCCCTTGAGTGTGGTTCTTCCTAGGCCTTAGGAGTACCCTAATTAAGTTAATAACAATGTACCTACCTATATAGTTTAAGTTTAAAAAATTTGGCTCTCAAAAGAAATTTCTATCGTTGTACTGTTGATATTTGGCTCTGTTGACTAGTGAGTTTGCCGACCACTGTTCTAGTGATTTTAGACTCACTGCTGATCATTACCTGGATCCATTATTTCATCAGGATTTGCAAAATGATGATAGTCTATCTTCTGCATTTATTACCTGAAAATCTATAAAGAAGAATGTTCTCACATCAACTATTTGATTAAGACTCAGTTTGTAACAGGGAAGGTAGGATGCTGGATTCTTTTGTTTTCAGAATATGAGATTCCTTGGGGTCCTCCAAAAGTGACCAATGACTTTAAAAAATCAGCATACTCATTTTTTTTATTGATTGATGAGAGAGAGAGAGAGAGAGAGAGAGAGAGATTTGTTGTTCCACACTTATTTATGCACTCATTGTTTGATCCTTCTATTTACCCTGATCAGGATCCAAACCGAAACCTTGGTGTATCCAGATGATGCTCTAACAAACTGAGCTACCCAGATGTGTTTTAATCAGTTGCTGTTATTACTTTTGAATGCTAAAATTGTTCTATCTTTGACATGCAGAAGCACCTTTAAATAGCCTCATGAGTCTTTTTGACTCAACTCCTATTATCTTTGCTTTCTTTTTTGTTTTCTGGTGCAACCAACACAATCTAGGCTTTCTTGTAGATTTCCTACCCCAGACTTAGAAACAGCCCTTGATCTCCAATTGGAGCCCAGGTGACTTTTCATGGGAAATTATATTCAGAGATGACCGTCTAGACCTGTTTTAATATCCCCCAAAGAGAACAACTAGATATTGTGTCTTCTGACGTGAAGCAATAGAGCAGTGATCTTTCAATGGGTGTGCTGCAAGTATTTTTAAAACATGCAATACCTGACTATTTAGTCACGGCACTGACCTCTTTTCCTTTAGAGTGTCAAATTTTTTTAAAAAAATGACAACAGCCAACACAATAGCCATCCAGCGTGAATGAATCAAAATTATACCTACTTTTCTGTTAGATCAGCAAAAATATTTTTTTTGGTATGCTGCCAAATTTTAGTAATTGGTATGTGTAGCATGAAATGGAAAAAGTTGAAAATCGCTGCAGCAGAGGATCACAACACAACCTGTGAAGTATTCTTGTCAGAGGTGATGCAATCAACAAAATCCAATGTGAGAAAAACTGTAGTTACATATATAGAGAGAGGTAATTTGCAAGAAAATAAAAGGGTTAAGAGAGAAATCTCTTTTTAAAATACATAACACAAATATAGGATCTTGTTTGGAGCCTGATTTTAACATACCAACTATTAAAAATTTGAGACTATCTAAAAATTGTAAGTAACATTTAAGTATGATATTTAAGAAATTATTTTAAAGGTGAGGTAAATTTTGGTGATGTTTTATAAAAGTCATAATCTTTTAAGTATATTTAAATACATATGTATGAGGACATACATATGTTTCATATACTTTCTGTGTCAGAAAGTAAGAAAGTGCTCAAAAAAATAAAATAAAATAACCCACATTGATGGGAGTATGTCAAAAGAGAGAAAGAGCCAACTGAAAGAGCTCCCAGGGGTGAAAGTTGGAACAAAGTAAACAAGGAAATAGCGTAGTGTTGGATTATAACCCAAAGTACAAAGTAAATGTCATACTAACATATGGAGAGATAGGTGATTTGAGTATGTTAATAAATACAGAAGAGACAAATCTCTGTGCAAAAGATGTCCAATTAATTTCTGTAGGTACTCTCCCCTTGAGAAGTGGAAATATAACTCCTCTCCCTTTGGTGTAGACTGCACATACTGACTTCCTCCTAAAGTGTGTAATATGGAAAAAGAGGGGAAAGGAGAAACTGTGTAATAGAGAAACCTGACAAACTCTTGGTGAGGTGTTTGTGGAAAACAATCATTGTCATAAATCATATTCATAGGACACACACTTGATATGACACAATACAAATGACATGTTACCTCTGCAGTCTTCCTTCCAATAGCCCGTAACACCGGTCTTATGAGAAATACATCAGACAAATTCCAACAATAAGGCATTCTACAAAGTGTCTGGCCAGTAATCCTGGAAGCTGTCAATGTCATCCAAACAGAGAAAGTCTGAATAACTGTCATAAGCAAGAGCCTAAGTGAAGTAGCCATGACAACTAAATGTCATGTGGTATCCTTGAATGGGTCCCTGCTCAGAAAAAGGGCAACAGGTAAAAACAAAGGAAATTTACATAAACTATGGACTTTAGTAATAACGGTTCCATATTGGTTTCTTAATTGTAACAATGTATCCTATTTAAGTAACCATAGTAATATGGGAAACCTGGTGTGGCTTTTGCAGTAACTCTGTGCTATCTTCTCAATTTATTTTGTAAATGTAAAACTGTTCCCAAATTTAAATAAATTCAAAAGAAGAAAGAAGTAATTTGTTTCAAAACACTGAGAGGACTGTTGGGGGTGGGGTCGGTTAGAAACCCACAAAATTGACTGTGAATTTATAATGTTGAAACTGGTGATGGATAGCATGGGGGTACCGTTTTTCTTCTGGACTTGTTTGAAAGATCCATAGTTTTAAAGTTTTAAAAATAATTTATTTGGGCCCAGCTGGCATGGCTCAGGGGTTGAGCCTGGACCTATGGACCTGAAGGTCAGGGTTGCCAACCGGATCCCCAGTGCGGAGCGTGCAGGAGGCAGCCGATCAATGGTTCTCTCTCATCATTGATGTTTGTATCTCTCTCTTCCTCCCTCTCCCTCTGCCTTCCTCTCTGAAATCAATACAAATATATTTATAAAAAATTATTTTATTTGGGCAACACCAGCATATAATGACTTCTCCCAGTAAGGGGGGGGGGGGGGAAGTGACCACCAATGTTTAGTTTCCAAGACCGGGCAGAGGCAGGGGTTGATGTGAAAAATCTTTTACAACTTCAAGTGGTTAATGTCCCCCACGTGACTTCGGCAGAGACAAGATCTGGGTCTTCAAGCTCCAAATTTGCCCTCCGTGTTCCCAGGATGCCTTTCTAGAAAAAGCAAGAACAGTCGCTATAGAGGAACTTTCTGAGGCCGCAGCTCTCGCACTCCCTGGAGCACAGCCGCCCCAACCGAGGCCCCAAACGCGGCTTCTACTTCCGCTTCCGGTTCCGGGCCGCGGAGGGAGCGTGTGGGGGGCACGTGGGTGCAGACTGCGCAGGCGCGGCCCGCTGGGCATTGGAGGTGAGCTGAGGGCCAGGAGCACGGCTGGGCTGGGCCGCGGGGCTCCGGGCACCGGCGGTCGCCACCACGGCCAGACTTCAGAGAAGGGTCGGGGTCAGCGGCCCTTTTGCCTCTTTCCAGGTCAGGGTTCCCAGGCGCAGGGGGCAGTGAGAGGGGCTGCGTGTGGGCCGTGGGGTTTGGGTCCTTGGGGGCCGGACGTTGGGCC